GCGGCGTCGCAGAACTCGATGAAAGCGGCGCCGGTGAACTCGCCGCCGTTGTCCATGCGGAAACATCCCGGAGTGCCCATGCCGTTCATGTCGGCCAAGAAGCGCTTCACGTACTTCAGGGTGTCGCTCTTCGCCCGCATCCCAAACCCCCGTTGCCACCGCGATGCGCTGTCCACGAACATGATCAGGTACCGGGAGCCGTCCATCGCCTCGGTGAACGGGCCCGTGAGATCGATGTGGACCTTGCCGAACGGCACCGCCGCGCGTGTCCCACGCCGCGGCACCGGGGCCCTCCTGCCCTTCGCCTCTACACAGCCAACACATGGCTGCAGCTCCCCGACCAGCCGAACACCCTGCTGCTTGGCAGTCTCACGCATCAAAAATTCATTTACGTGGCCGGTGGAAGCGTGGAACAGGTTAATGTCGATGGTGGGCGTGGATTTTCCTACCGAAAATGGGGAAGCACCGGGGGCGATAGTCGCCAACGCGTGGGAAAGAGACGGAGGGGCTGCGGCCTGCTGCTCATTGCACTCGGAAAGAAAACCGCTCAACACTTCCAAATCATCATGCTGCACAGTGAATGCAAGGTGGGGTGGATCCGCAGACTCAGCTAATTCAAGCGCATCAGGAAAAAAATCACCCGGGGGGACCGTGTCTTTGCCATCCATCAACCCAACATCCAGAAACATGCTCATGTCCATGATTGGTAATGCATCCTGGGAAAAAAAGGGGGTTGATCTCTATCTCGCGAAAGTCTGTCAGCTCTACGGCAGGGGGAGATACAATCGAAGACGATTATACGGCAGCCGTAATCACAGGCTGAAAATCGGGGATTGTCGTGGCGGTTGGGTCTACGTCGACGGACGGAAAAGCACAAATCGGTAGCACTACATCGGAAGTGGTAGAGGGGATGCTCGAACTCGAAGGTACTACACCGTCGGATCCGGTGGGCTGGACGTCTGCAGTCGAAGGTACAACGCCGGCCGGTGCGACGGACTGGAAGCCAGAAGTCGCAGGTACAACGCCGGCCGATGCGACGGACTGGAAGCCAGAAGTCGCACTCGCACTCGTGCCCGTTCCTGCACTCTGGAAAAGGGAAGGGGTGGCCGCAACAAATCCTGTGCCAATGCTAGGCGGGGACGCTTGGGCAGACACACGGGGAGGGGCATCGGGGCTAGAGGTCACAGCACGACCACAGTAATCCTGGGGCAATCGCGTAGCCCAGAGCGAGCATCCTACGTCAGAGTATGCGAAGGAAAGTCTACCATCAAAGAGATGTACACCTGTCTCGTCAAGGACGATCCGTTGCTTACGCTGCGTGTGGTGCAACGGAAACAAATTGAAAGTGATTCCGGGTACAACGTACACGTCCGACATTTGCACGCAAAAATCAAGCTCTCCTCCCTGGTCTTGCATGTGGAAAGCCATGTTGACCTTCCCCACACATTGTACGCGCAAATAGGCACCGTTGCCAACCTGAATGTACTCTTTGCCTGTCGGCACTGGCCTCAAGTCGAACATTTGATGACTACTGCTCACAAAAGTGTTCGTCGCACCGCTGTCGGCCCAAAACTTCTCTCTACCAAAACGGGAAAGCGGGTTCTGCGCAGATAAAGCAAATCCATTACCACTCTCACGCTCGGTACTCGCTACAACACCACTCGGAATGATCTCGCCTGCAGACACGAAACGTGCCATCAAGAAGTGAAGGGAGCCCGGGGCCGATGCTGCTGCTCCGGGAGGAGATGGGTGGGGCGGGGCATGAGTCGAGTGCTGCTGCAGCTGCGGCGGCTGCTGCTGCTGGAACGTCGGCGGAGGCGGAGGCTGTGGCGGCGGCTGCTG